CTGTAAAACACAGCATTTCCGACCATAACAAGGCCAAAAAATAAGAGGTGTGGGTGCCGCACCGGGGGGGGACGGCCTACTACTACTACTACTACTACTACTACTACTGCTACTGCTACTACTACCATTTTGAAGGACGCCGGTATTCACATCAATCCAAATCCTGTGTCGCCAAGATGCAGCTGCTAATAATAGTGCCTGCTTGCTGCTGCTGAGTACTATTGTGATCGTAAACACCGCAATTGTGGCTGTTGCTGCAACAAACGCAGCAAGCCATTTTCACAATGAGCACGGATGGTACTGCTAGCACGACAACTTCCATATAACATGTAGTAATTGAAGCTGACATCATGTCAACACGAGTATTGCCACAAATGCCAACATGTCGTCACATCGCCGACAAACAGTCATGAGTGTCATGCCGCATGTGAATGTGACTCTACAACGTAAAACCTCAAACCCTCCACATGCGCAACAGGCCTTCTCTGAAAGGATGCACCTGCCATGTCACCGAAGGCTTCGCGTCTCGCGTTCTTATGAGACCCTAAACCCGAAACTGTTGCTGTCTCGGGGCCCAGGTGAAAAGGTCGCACTTCACAGTTTCGGGTTTGAGGATTGCAGCCGGATCCAGTCTTCAGGGCGTTGGATTTACAGTTTACGGTGAAGGGTCGCTGGGCTTCGGGATCTTTGTCGTCTTCTAGGCTTGGCTTTGAAATACCGGCCTCGAGCCTATAAGGTGGATAACTACATAGCGTTCTTTACTCACAGCTTCAAACTGCCACTGAACACCTTCTACCCCTGAACCTTACCAAGTTCCTTTTCCCGATAGTGTAAGTGGCCATAGTCACATGTAGGGACCTAGCATGGTTGCACCAGTGTCATGGTCTCCGGACCGTATAGTAAGGATCCTGCAATTTAGGGGGCATCTGAGTGTCCCTTTCTCACTGAACTTAGGCTTCGGAGGACCTACAAACTAAGCTTCGCGTCGTTGCTTCAAGGTCTCTGAGGACTAAGCGGAGACTCCATCTTGTGAACATGATGCCAAGCACAGCTTTTTAGGATACTCAAACAACCTTAGACACACACTGACACTGGAAAAGCTACCAAAACCGAAGCAGCCCTAGCAAGAACCGTACAGCCCCGACCCTTTGAACCCCTTAGCCTTATATGCGGCATTCAGAACACACGGGGTGTAAACAAACCTGAAGCAGTATGATGCCAATAAAGTACCTCAATTTGTTGATTGTGTGAGATATTAGACACAGCCCCAGGGTGTGCACCCCTAGTTTGAAGAAACAGTAAATTCCTATACAGTTTTAAAGAAAACAAGCGCCTAAACCTCACAGCCTAAACCCTGTAAGCTTTCTTCCCTACACCTCAAGCCCCCTCCCAAAATTCAATCCCTCAAACAGTCTCGCTGGGCACCCCTATGCGCATCTCCTCTGGATCGACCAGGAAGAGGTACTTCTTCTCATGCAGATACTTCTGGCGGGTTGCGGCCAGAAACCTAGTGCCGAAGCCCGAACCATCCCGAAACCCAAAGCATGATGCCGTAAACACCAAAATCCGCAGAAGTGTGCGGGGTGTGGATTGCGTTGGAGGTCCTAAGCCAGGACTCTCTAGGCGTGTCGATGCTCGGGTTAAGGATTGAGGATTTGGATGTAGGGCCTTGGGTTCAGGTTTTGCCCCGTAAAACCCGATGCCCGAAACGGTCAGCCATGCAACAAGTTGGGGCCTGAACACAACGTAAGATTATGCTTCGGGTGACCGAACGGTTTAGGGCTTAGGGTTCGGGCTTAGGGTTTAGGGAACATGCCTTTAGTATTTAGGGTTTAGGGTTTAGGGTATAAGACTTCCAAAACCGTGGTCTCGTCACCCAGGTCTCTATATTCACTATGCAAAGGCCCGAAGGACTAGGCTTTGGCTTGGGGGCTCTGTTGTGGACATGCAACACGGAACCATCGACAAAAATGTGCGTAATGCTTCGGGCCCCCAAAAAGCGTTATGAGACCCCTATAGCACCTTTCGGACTCCCTTACAAAACTCTGTACAACAGTACATACATCCATAAATCCAATTCTAAGTACGGTGGGGCTTGGGACTGACATGAGGGATGGGCATGTGTCCCGAATCCAGTGAGGATCCAAAAAAATAGAGATCCCCTAATTTAGATTTGGGATCCTATGTTTTGAAAGGGTACTGTGTAGGAATCCCCTTAAGGGATCTGATCCAAGGCGCTAAACTCCAAAATGTTCGACACCGAAAACAATGCCTATAAGCCCTAAGCCAATCGCTGCAGCCATGAGTCTAAAGCCAACTTCCGAAAGTCCTAAGTTCTCAACCTCAAACCCTAAACTAGAACGCCTTATATAATACTACTCTTATTTCAGTACCCTAAACCCTAAACCGCAAAGCTATAGCAAGCCAGAGGGTGGCTTTCAAGCAAGTAACCCTACCCAAAAAGATCCGAAAGCCTCGTAGACCAGCGTGTCTAGAACGAAGTTGAGGTGCTTGTGAAAAGCACCTCTCGGTCGCGGGGGATTTTGGATTTGGGGGGTTTGGGGTTGAGGGTTTGGGGTCGGGGGTTAATGTAGGGGCCTTAATAGTAAGTAGAACATAATTTTAGGGGTTTCTGATTATAAGTCTGGTATAATATACCCCAAACCCTATCCTAGTTACTAAGACCCCTATATTAAGGGTTCAGGATGTGGAGTTGAGGGTTCAGAGTTTACATAGGGGTTTTAGTTTAAAACTTCCCAACTGCCGAGCTGTAGTTCGAATCGAGGACTGTAGCCCCTGCTGTTGCTCTTGCCAGGGTCGGAGTACATCACTCGGATTTGGGATATAGGGTCTAGGTTTGGGGTTGCAGGTTTAGGGCGTAGGGGGGTTCAGGGGTGAGGTTTGGGGTTTGCGGCTTAGGAATTGGGGGGCAATTGGCCAAGGAATCAGGACAATTTGCACCCTCAACATCCTTAAACGTTCAAGACACTGGACGCATCCCACACCAACAGCGGATTTTGTCTCTAAGCCCGAGATTCCGGCGGCTATGATCCTTGATGTGTGTACTACGATGACCGCCATGAAGCTACCGGCTGAAATCTGGCCTAGCTGACCAAACCCCAGCCCCAGAACAGAAAGCAGCTGTTTTTAGGGTTTAGGGTTTTTCAAATCCTGAACCCTCGAAGGCTACTCAACCCCGGTAAACACACCCTAAACATCCCTGAACACTGAACACTAAACAATCCAAACCCCCAAGCCTCAAACCTTTGGATCTTGAACCAGCAACCCTAAACCGAAGCCCAAACCCCAAACAACCAAACCAAAAAAAATCCGAAATCCCAGAATCCAACCTCATGCAAATCCTATAACGGCACCCTTCAACCCAAAACCCTAAACCCTAACCCCCCTTAAAGCAGCCCTACAGGAAGCCTCACGAACCCTCCCCCAAAACGCACCGGGCGACCATCCCATCGGCCAAAGGTTGTCAGGTCTGCGTCCTGCCAGCCCGGTAGAAATCGGATAAAGTTGAGGGTTTAGGGTTTAGGGTTTAGGGTTTAGGGTTCAGGGCTTTAGGGCTTTAGGGCTTTAGGGTTTAGGGTTCAGGGCTTTAGGGCTTTAGGGTTTAGGGTTGGGAAATTTATGAAAGAATATAGAATTACATTAAGGCTACTACAAAGCTTACTAGCAGGGCTACTACAAGGGCTACAAAGGTTACTCGTGGAATTACTCTATGGCCTGCTGGACGGATTGCACGGAGGTTAGGGTTTAGGGTTTAGGGTTTTTTTAGGGTTTAGGGTTTAGGGTTTAGGGTTTAGGGTAAGGGATACGAATTAGAAGGATTACTAGGAGTTAGTATACTGGTGGAAAGAAGGGGAGAGGGGCTACTCGAAGCGTTCTAGGGTGTTTGGGGTCAGAGTTTAATGCTCGGGTGAGGGTTTCGGGCTCTAGGGTTGTCTTGGGGATGGGGTGGCTTAAGGTCCTGAGGTTAGGAGCTTTGAGCTCTGAGGGCTCACAGTTCAAGGTTTGAAGGCGCTCGGGTTATAGGACTTAGAGGTCCTAAGGCCGGAAAAGAAAAATATAATGCTAATGTAAACCCTGAAGCCCGAAAGAGTAAACCCAGGGCTTATTCGTTCATGTATGTGGGGCCGTTCACGACTGAGGGCTGGGTTTCGAACTGCTCCTCCCCAGAATCCCTCAAAGAGAGCCACTGCCATGAATCTAGATAGACACCATCTGGTGCACTCTGCGCCGCCCACCACAGCAACTGAGTTCATTGAACTCACCAGCTGCGCAACGCCTTTTCATACGGTGCCACCTGAAGGTTTCCTGGTCCTGAGCCTTCGATGCAAGCCTGGTCCTTGCGTCAGGTGTGTCGCGACCAGGCGCAGTTGCGTGCTTGCTTGCTTTGTCCTAGAGCTTGATGCTGTAGGACTAGCCTTCAGGCACCCACCGGCGTGCCGCTTTTGGAGCCAGTGGCATCTGAAAACGCAGTGGAAAGACTGGACAACATGATGCACCTTGCATCGTAACCTTCTCTGCTGCGGCCATCCACAAGATGCGCGGGCCGTTTTAATACGGAACCTCGAATGTCTGGGAGGCTATGGTTTGGGGATTTATCGGGAGGGGAGGTGTTTCAGGATGTGGGGTTCAATTAAGGCTTGGGGTTGAAAGTTCCGGAACTCTTGAACACTCCTTGAAGGATCGGATAACTTTGCAACTACGGGTTGCTAAATGCCGGGCTCTAAGAAAGTTCTCTTGAGTAGGAAATCCTACCAGATCCCTGACCCTCCAAGTAGGCAGCCGAAGACTGAATCGTCAACCCCAAGCTTTGACAGTGAACCCTTAACCCAGAAATCACTACTAAAACAGTGCTGTCCTGATTCCAGGCATTCTGAAACAAACGGGGCACCCACAGTGTTCGAAGTCCCAGCTGCTTCTTGAACCTTCAAGTCCAGGGTATAGAGGTTTAGGGCTTAAGGCCTTCATGATTCGGCTCCGTTTCGGCCGAAGCGGTCAGAGGTTCTTTCATTCCCCCCGGGAAGAGTCTCAAGCTTCCAGTGACGCACCCCCGGGTAAAGGGTTAACCCCAAACACTCCCCCCTGGCCCCTGCCCTCGCTTCGTTTTGCGCACTCTGAATGTCCACCTGCGACTTGGCCAAGGCGGACAAAGCAACGTGTTTACAGTTAGACTTTGGAGATAAAAAACAAGACTCATATATAGTATTCGCTCTTAGGTCACGGGGTGAACGGATTAGGGTGAAAAGGAACTTCGGGTTGGAGTTGTCACGAGCCCAGAGCTCGAAACCGTTTGCTTCAAATCATCCTGACCCCGAAACCCTACAGTGTGAGGCCATCCCGACGACCCGGCGGGCAGACATGTCGCTGGAATCGTAGATTGAGGCGGCGGGGAAGGGGGGGCAGTGTTGAAGCTTGAAGGTGTTGGAAACCCTTACAGCCCAGAGCCTTTAAGAGTTTAAACTTTATGCGGATTTATGCGGTATACTTGTTGCGGTTATATAGTGAGATGAGGGGTGCAACCCCCAGCCCTCAACCTACATCTGGTGCTTGCCTGTAGAAGAGGAGCGCAATGAGGCTCTGATCCACCAGAGGCAGCGGCCTCAACTGGCTTCCAAGACGTTGGGGGTTGGCTGTGGTAAGGAACGGGATTGTCGCGACACGCGTTTACGCAGTCGGACACAAGCACGTTGTAGTTGTGCAGGAGATATGTCGCTAGTCTCCCCACAATGAAGCAAAACCAGTGCACCCAGCGAGACTTGACATAGTGAAATTCCCTGCGTACATAACAACCCCCAAACCCTCAACCCTGAGCCCCAAACCTAAACCGGAATCAACCTTGGGAAGAAGTTGAACGGTGGTGTACAGTACGTTCGTTCAGCTTTGATGGCGAATTTGCTGTTGCAGAAGAACTGTACCATAGCGGCATAAAGGATTAGAGCCGGGCTAAAGATTGAGCACAAGAATGAATGGACTTGCCAGATATATGGTACTAGAAGCAATGAGCGCGGTCGGCGACAAGGGTGCGAGGAAGCTGAGAAAAAAAGGCGAACCTGTGTAGCAAAGCTTGCAAGAAAGTCCACCAAATCATGTCGGAGATGGGCCTATTTCCTTGTTGCTGCGAGACATTGAGGCGAGACGCATCGGAGCTTCACACAAAGAGAAACGAACCGGATCGGGTTGTACCGAAGGGAGCTTGGAGCTCAGGCGCGCTGCCCTTACCTGCTGCGCCGCCACTTCTCCCACTGTCGATGGTGCTGCAGAAGGCAAATGCAGAGGCGGGCGATTGCGCTTTGTAGCTACGGATGCGTGGACACTTTGGAGGGCTTGTGGCCAGAGACGGCGGAGAGATGCCGGAATTGAGCCGTGCCCTGGTTTGGGTGGACTTTTGCGCAGTTGGGAGGAATGGGAGGATAAGCGCTGGCATCCACGACGCCAGGCTCCTTCCTCGTACCAGGTGGGCATATTGACTTCTCCGTTCGGTGAGCCAGCATGTTTCGGGAGTAAATCATTCTCTCCTTCCCCCTCCCTCCCTCTCTCTCCCTACAGCCAGTTTAATTAGTAGCTCACTGAAGAACAAACTAAGCAGCTCACTAACTAAGTGAATAACGAGCTAGCCAACACTAACTGACTGACTGACTCACGCAATATACAACTGACTAGCTCCTGCCTGAGACTATGCTTCAAGACGGCCAACTTGGTAACTCGGATTGTGTCCCAATCAGGCCTGCGATCTCAAGGAAGCAGCTCTCCCCCGAAGGCCGGTTCAGGAGAATGGCCCAAACACGCAGAATCACTGCTTGGCCCAGGACCACGGTGTCCAAGGGTGCGCGCACCGTAACCCCACCCCCGCACCCGCCCGCCGCGACATCATTGCAGTTCTGCTCCAACAAATCTTCGGAAGAATGCGAACATGTGGCATCGACGGAGTTCTGGGAGTGTTAGCCCTTGCATGCAGCTTTAGTGGATCACATTCCCTTCCTCCTGGTACCTGCTCCACTGTCGAAGGGCTTAACACGAACTCCGACCTCTGAAGGCAGCACCGTCCGAATGAATGAACGAAGCCACCACTCCATGTTCAGGGTTCGGGTTTCGGCTGTTGGTCTTGAAGGGCAAACGGCCTCAGAATTCCCGTCTTGCTTTATTCCTGCTTGAGGGCTTAAGCAACTTTCCGCTAAGTTGAGATTTTGGGCTGGGGTCTCGGGCGGTTTCGGGTTTAGGGCTGGGGGATTTCCGCCCGGAGACGCCAAAGTGTTGTAGTTCTCGGACCACTTCGCCTGACAGAAGGCAAAGGAGCAGAGGGGAGGAAATGGCATCTTTTCGGTCTTTGGCTACAGAGCTCAGGATTGGGGTCTACTTGGAGGATCATGGAACTTAGTAAGTAAGGTTATAAGTCCCCTAATTGGGGTTCTAAGTATAGTTACCTTAGTTCTAACCCTACTTACTAAGTCCCATGATCCTTTAAGTTTGCCTTTGGAATCATCTTCTATTCTTTCACGGCTCAAACTGTACCGTCTTTGTTTGGGGATGTGCCCAAACCTACGTCTACAGCTTGTCATCCCACCCTGAGCTCGAACCGCCCCCGGCTCCACGAGTTAAACCCTGAAGTCTGCAAACATAAACATGATAGGGCCTTAAACCAAGATAAACTCAAACCCTAAACCCTGAACCCCTAAAGCCAAAACCCCAAACCTGAAGACTTGCATAGGGAGCCTTGTAAGAAACCAGAAAGAGCCCGAAGCTGTACAAACGCTTCCCCCACCTTCGGCCAACAATCCAGACTCTGAACCCAAACTTCAGGGTTTAGGGTTTAGGATTCGGGGGTCAAGGGACCCAAAACCTAAAGGGAAGAGCATGAGGCTTAAGACTGACAGTTTAGGAGCTGAGCTCGATTTTGCAGCCCTAAACCCTAAACCCTAAATCCTAAACCCAAAGCCTCACCTTAAATTTTTTTGGGGCTTCAGAGTTCACGCATGGTTCAGCTATGCCCCAATTCGCCCTAACGACTCACACGCTAAAAGTCCGACAGTCTGAAAACCCTAAGCCCTTAAACGGTACAGGCTAATGTAGGGGCCTTAACAATTAGAATAGGGTCTTCGGGGTTCCTTATTATCATTATGGTATACTATACCCCAAGACCCTATTCTATTTATTAAGGCCTGTATATTAAGCCCTCAAGCCCCAACTCACAGGCGCTAACCCCCAAACTTAGATGCGACTCTCCCACTCGAGATGCGACATGAGGAAGATGATTCGGTTCTTTAGGGTTTTAGCGTTTAGAATTTAGGTTTAGGGTTTTGGACGGTTAAGGGTTTAGTCAGGGTTTACGAGGTTGGGTTTAGGGCTTAGGGTTTTAGGGTTTGCCGTGGAAGGTTAGTACCAGGGTAGTAGCACATCAAAGAAAAGTGCACACCCCGAAACCCCAAACCAATTAAGATAGGGCCCACACCCACTCTCGCAGCAGGCGAGCCGACCGGCGGTTCTTCCGCCTGGGATGCCGGCCCGGCAGTCGGAACAGGAATTTAGGGCTTAGGGAGGTTTTTCTGGGGATTCATCAACTTCATAAGGCTTGGTGTTGATTGAAAAGGTTTGATGAACACCCTAACCCCGACCCTAAACCCTAATTCCTAAACCCTAAACCCTAAATCCTAAACCCTAACCCCTACACCCTAATTCCTAAACCCGAAACCCTAAACCCTAAATCCTAAACCCTAACCCCCAAACCCTAATTCCTGAACCCGAAACCCTAAACCTAAAATTCTGAACCCTAAACCCCTAGACCCTAATTCCTAAACCCGAAACCCTAAACCCTAAATCCTAAAAATCTAACCCCTAAACCCTGATTCCTAAACACTTTCTATCAACAGTGCCGCACAAAATGTGTGCCCCTACTAAACCATCCGAGTTTCGAGGCGAATCTGGAAATCAAGGCCGGATTTTGCTATGTTAAACTCTTCACGTAAAATGTGTGTTTTAGATTGGCTGGCGGCCCATCTCGGGATCCCCCCTTTCCAAGATGTGGCCCCTACTACATTTCAATATTTGCCTTGTTCCATCGGCTCAGGTTTATAAACCCTGACCTCCTTCGTGGAAGAAAGCGAATTTTGCCTTATTCCACGAATCGGCGCTATGTGAATGAAAAGCTTTAGATTTTCAAATGCTATGAGATTCTAGGGTGGGTGGGTGTTGTCTAAACCGTGAATGTAGCTTTACTATAACACTGCTCGATCCGAAGCTGCTGAACCCGAAACCCTAAAACTTAAATCCTAAACCCCTAACCCCTAAACCCTAATTCCTAAACCCGAAACCCTAATCCCTAAATTCTAACCCCTAACCCCTAAACCCTAATTCCTAAACTAGAAACCCTAAACCTTAAATCCTACACCCTAAATCCTGCTTATTGGATTATGAAAGGTTTTGGCGCCCTGGGCTTTCGGAGCCTTATAAGCCCTGGGCGCCGTCTCGGGTCTAGGCTTCCCTGGGCTGGGGGGTGGGAGTTTAGGGTTTAGGGTTCTAGGGTTTTGGGGTGTATTGGGGTTTAAGGCTTTGGGTTTTTTGAGTTTAGGGCTTTAGGGTTTTAGGGTTTAGGGCTGTAGAGTTTGTGGATTTTGGGGTGTTACTGGGCTTCTGGTTCAAAGTTCAGGGTTTGGGCTTGGGCTTTAAATTTAAGGGCTTCGGGTTTACGGGTGTCTGTGACTACCGGGACTGGGGCTCAACGTAAACCTTAGGGCGTCGGCTGGGAGCACTAAGGTTTAGGGTTCAGGGCTTGCGGCTTAGATGTAGAAATCCTGTGCTCCGTCATATCACACCTTTGCACATGGCATGACCCAGAAATCCCAATAGACCCTTAATTAATAATTAAGGATTAGACCTGAAACCCTGACATGAAGGCCCCTACCTTAAGGTATACGGGTTCCTTGATTAAGGAGCATTCCTTAAACCATAGTTCTTAATCCCCGTATAACTTAAGCTATATTCCCTGAATAAGGGATATTGGGATCTCTGAGGAGCTTGAATGAGCGCAAGCGGCTGGCTGTTGAATGCCCATGAGGTCGATACAATAAGCATCAAGATTTAACTTTAACTTTTTTAGGGGGCTACACTGTTACACTACTTCCTTGTTCTTACTTTTCCTAAGCTGTCACGTTTACTGAAGCTCCTGTTGCTGTCTCGCTAATAGTACTGCTTTTCAAGTTCTTTGCATTGGCGATCTCAACGTCTGCATCCTCAGCATGATGAGCACCCTCATTAGTTGCTCCCAGCCTAGGGATGTAAAGTAAATAATATGGTTTCTTGAATATAGTGACTTAATTTAAGGTTTAGATCCCTTAACAAGAACCCAATAGATCCCACATGTGAGAACTCGAACCCGAAACGCTCATCATCCCTAAACACTGACAAAGTTGACGAAGTTGATAAAAGCTAAGATTGAGGCGCACTGGTACTTGCGCATGGAGATTAAGCAAGGGCTTAACCAATCCATCGAGAGGCCCCTTCTAAACTTGAAACCTTATTATCAATCCCTGACAACCATCTTCTAATTCAGGACCTTGAGGCCCTATACTGACCGTTCTAGAAACCCTTGTCATACCCCTCAAACCCTAACAGAACCCTGCTCTGGTTTTTTGAAGCCTCTATGTGATCACCCTCTGGGTCCCGGACCAGACGGACCAAGAGTGTTGGTGTGTCGGCTGCTGCCAGTAGTACTCGCAACAGTCGGTCTGTCGCTCTGGCCTCTGGGGCTTAGGGGCTTTTTGGGGTTCCTGATTTTCATTCGAGTATAATGTCTGTTAAAATTATTAAGACCCCTCTATTAGGGGTGTGGAGTTCCGCGTTTGCTGCTTTCGGATTTAAGTGCGTCGCATCTACTTTGAAAATGCATTGGATGAAGGCTCTAATGTTGGGGCCTAAATAATTACCAATACTATTTTGGGGTTGCTTATTATACTTATAGTATAATGGGCCCCAAAACCCTGTTCCACTTAATGAGGCCCCTATATTAGGTGTTTCTTTCAGACAGATCCTATGTCTTGTCCGTTCCCAGCCGTAAACTCGAGATTTAGATCCCACCTAAAAGCTCCAAGATAATGGCGCAGTCCTACACCCTACAGCCGCCGCAAGACCAACAGTGAAGTCAGGTCAGTTAAGCTGTGGGCCATAGGCCTAAATGATCCTAAATGCAAATACTGAGCCCCAAACCCTAAACCCTGACACCGGCCCGAAACCCTAAAACGCGAAACCTTGCCCTCATGCTCAAGGATAAGCCCCTCTCAACCCAAATTCTCAGCCCCACACCCTACACCCCCAACCCTAAACCCCAAGCCCTGAACCATAACATCAAACTCCTACGTCCGAAACTCTCCGTTGTTGCTTTCGTCTCGGCCCTTCCCAGAAGTTGCGGTTTAACAATAACAAAAATAATAATAATAATAATAATAATAGTAATAATAATAATAGGCATAGCACTAGTAATTGTACTACGTAGTACTGGGAACGGTAATTGACAATAGAGTTGAGTGCGTGGGTTTTGGTGTTCTGATCCTGGGGTTCATTCCGGGTTTGTTACGAGGGGCTGGTGGTTCCGTACTTTGACGTTCTGGGTTTGGTACTTGGGAATTGAGGCCTGGGGTTTACAGTTTCTATGGATGTCATATTGAACGAAGGTGTAAGGCTGAGCAGACTGAGAACTGAGAAGAACCCCCCTCAACCCTTCCCCGCACTTCAGGGCCCCATTCAGGAAACTCTGGCCCCAAGGTATCACAAGGACTGTCCACCAAGTTTCCCACTCACTCGGTCACTAGCAACTCACCAGTAGCCGCACCCCCTCATCTTGACGTCAAACATTGCGATTCCTAGACGGTTTGGGGCCTGAAATTCGGGGTTCATGGCGGTTCAGATTAAGGCTTAGATGTTGAGGTTTCGGGCTTGCGGGAGTTAAGCTTTAAAGCTTTGATTTTTTTCTGTGGGAAGGGGGGATGTTGAGCAAACCCAAAACCCCCAAACCCTAAGCGCTATGTACTAAGGAAAGTACCCGCATAGCTCCAGTCTCGTGAGGACGTCGCAGAAGACTTCAAAAGCCTGCAGCAGCCCCGACCCATGTCGGGACATCAGGTTTCAGTTTTGGTTTGGGCTTAGGATGTACGAGAACCCTTTAGCCTTAAACCCTGAACTCCCCGAACCCTTTGGAGTGTTCAGCTCAGGCTTTAGAAAGGGGTTATGTACATATATATATATATATATACACTTTGTTTTGTTTGTTTAGCCTCGTTGTATTTATCTAACCTCGTGTTTTTTTCTAACCTCGGATTTGCTGCCGGACGAACCAACTGGTGCATCAGCAGGCGCGACGTCCTCTATTTTTTCGGCAGGAATAACCCAGAATGCCGTGATTCCTTCAACTGTTTCTTGTTTGCTGTGTCCGGTAGGCTGGTGCATCATGTAGTAGTTGCGGCAACCGGAGAGTCGTGTCGCTCGGGCATTCCAGAAATCAATAGTCGGGGATCGGCCGAGACTGAGGAGCGATTGTCCGTTCAACAAGGCAGCAGTTTCCGGGCAAGGCCACGTAGGAAACTTACGTTTCGTATGCCATTCATATTACGCGTAGATGTCTGATTCATGCGTCAGCCAAATGGTGCCAAGTTGGGCACTCTTATCTTGCAGCTCCACTGTCTTCTTCTTTTGAAGAACAAGTCCAGCCACTTCTTCTTCAAACAAGGCCTCGAGCGTTAACTTGCGGTCGAGCAGTTTCTCAACCATACCCTGCTGCAGATTGCTCCCGCCCAAGTAGTCCTCGTGCATGCTCCATCGCGCATAGCCTACATTCACGACGCGGTGCACTTGTAGGTGCTGCAAACTGGCTAAGGACTCTGCCAACTCAACTGGACACACGACGGTCCACAGACCACAGCACTATGCTGTGATAGATTTAGCAGCTCGGTATTGAGTATAGAGGTGTTGCGTCGGCCTTGATCCATACAAACATTCTGTGCGGTGAAATGCAAAAGCGCGTTGTCTGCAAATTTGCAAGATGATGCAGTATGGCACTCGCGTGTGGAGAGCAAGTGTCTCTTCGTCGTCATGTGCGAACCACGACATACGCGACCAGCGAGCCATCAGGACCTGGAACGAATCTAAAACCAGGTTTCGTCTCAGTCATGTAGATACAATGAGGCAGAAAGCAGTGCTAGGTGTTTTTTTGTGCGCACGTCGTCCATCTCACAAACAGCCCTCTATCACTACTGGTGAGGGCCGCTTTGCCGATTCGGCTGGTTTGGTTCGAAACACAAGAAACCTTAGTCTAGCAAATGGCTACCGAACGTCAGATGGCTGAGCATGATTCCTCCCCATGGGCTGGGATGTGCACGCAAGATTCTCATACGTGTGCCGCCATGTGAAACAAAGGTGTGTTCGGTTCACGTCTCCTCATCGGTGTCTGGTCAAGGTCAAAAGGCAGACCAGCAAATGGCGAGATTAAAATTCAGATGACGAGGCTAGAAAAAACACCAGGTTAAAAAAGACTTCAAAAAAAACTTTCCTCAATCCTGCATCCTCGTAGATTTAGATTTGAGAACCCTGACCAGAGCCGACATCATGCGAACCACACCGAAGGCCCATGACCTCAAACAGTCAAACAGATTCAGCCAGGAACCGTGCAGCCACCTTGGAAGGTGGTTCTTGACTATGGTCCCTCTTCAGGTCCGTATGACATTATGAGGTATATGATGCCGGTGTACAGCGTTTAGACTATCATAACTGAATCATAACGAGCTAGGCTTAGAGCAGGTAGCGGAAAGAGAAACCCGAATGCTAGACAAATCTCGTGAATAGCTCGATAAGCTTTCACCATCCGAAAAGCTGGAAAACAGAGCATGAAGCCCTGGTACACCTTGGGAGCAAGCCCACAAAAACCCCCAAGCCAAGAAGCTAACCTCACCCATCGTCCGTGAAACTACCGTGTCCATCGCTGCCGGACGTCTTCTGCTTCGTCCAGACACCCTACAAAAGGGTAGGTACGGCCAAAGCAAGCCTGCATGTGGTTTTGCGCTTAAGGATAAGGACCTCAGGGTCAAGGCATCAAGACCTAGGGGTTTGGGGCCTAGGGCTTGGAAGTAATATTGAGGAGCAGCCAACACGAAGAAGCGGGCTCCCAAAAAAGGTCCTACGTTACATTGTAAAGCCAAGGAACGCCCTACACCCCTAAACCGTTGGCCGCTAAGGCCTTGGAAAAGCTAAGGACCTGACTGCTTTGGGCATTTGGGCGCCGTAGGCTGCCACCTGCACACGCAAGCCGTGGGGGGTTGGGCTTGCTCAAAATACTTTTAGGGAAAGGAACTATAGCAATTGGGAGGCTTAGGTTAGGGGGCTGAGGTACGGGCTTGGTTTTTCAGTTTGCAGTTGGGGATAGAGGCTTCATATTCGTACCACTCTGCAGACAAGATGCTATTTGCAGGAAGCCTGATAATCTGAACACTAACATGTGTAGCAACAAACATGCTGAGTAAACTGGAACATATGATCAGAATCAAAAGAATTGCAACAACAAGCCTCACATACCAGAATGTTCATGACATAGGCGAAAGCCCCGCAAGTAAGAGGGGTGGAATCAGAAGCAGACACCACGACAGAATTCAAAGGTAAGTGGTCATAGGTCCATAGGTGATACGAGGACAAGAACAACAACAGCAGCAGCAGCAAAACTACACAAGGCCAGGACATGACGATAGCAAGCAAGCTAAAACAACGACGGAAAAAGAGTTGCACCGGACTACCACTACGGTAAGTCTGCAAACTGCTGCGACGGCTGCTACTGTGCGCTGTTGCCGCGGCTGCTGCTGCTGCTCCTCCTCCTCCTCCTCCTCCTGCTCCTCCCTCTCCCTTCTCCTCTTCCTTTTGCTGTTCCGCGTCCTCCTCCTCGTCCTCCTCCGCTCCGCTTCCTTCTCCTCTTCTTCCTCCTCCTCTACTACCACTTCTACTACTGCTGCTGCTACTGCTAGTGCTCCTGCTACTGCTACTACACCTTTTACTTATACCACTCCTAGATACTACCACTGCCACCCCTGCTCCACAGCGCATGTAACTGATCCCTGCTTCTCGCTTCTTGTCTTGCCCACTGGGTTGGGTGATATATACTCAAGTTCACGAGTACCGTCAATGCCAGTGAGTTGTCGTCTGCGTCTGTGCAGAGTTCGGAGTGTAGGGATTGCGGTGGTCTCTGAATGCACCGGGCAACGAGATCTGCAAGTTGCAATTTGCTTTGCTTTTCTTCTGTTGTTCCATAATCACTGTATTCGCCCCTTCACTTCCACCTCAGGCTTCTCGCCTCATTAGTCCATGTTTCAATGTTAATCTTGCAAATCCGTTTTCAAGCCGCCGGGTCCAGCAGTCCAATCCTCGCCCTTTTCCAGCAAAGGTATGAAGCGTGCTGCTTTAATCGTCTAGTCTAGTTAGGTTGCTCCCTCCCTCGGCAAGACCTCGGGTTGCGGAACAAGCTCATGTTCCAGGGCTTCGGGGTTTCGTACTGACCCTTTGCCAGGCAATCCTCACCCTTGAAGCCAACCTGTGGAAGTCTGTCCACAAGCCTCCGAGGAAGACGGTAATTCCACGTAACCCCAAAGCCACTTGCCCAGGCAGCAATGAAGTACCGAAGGAATGCCCTGACACCCCGCACTCTGCCAAAGCACGCATTGCTGGGTCCACTCGTGCTCCAGCGTCGCACGCATCTGGACAGCCGGCAGACCTGAATTCTTAAACCCTAAACCCGAAACCCTAAACCCTAGACTAAACCCGAGGGTCTGGGTGCCTTCGGGCCTAGGGCTTAGACTTTGGGTGTTGTGGACATGTAGGTTGAACCCTACACCCTACACCCTTGGCTCCTAGCCTTGCTTGAGAAGGCCAGGCTGGTAGGGAGCGAACCTCTACAGTAACTTTCAGATTTAGGGGACTTAGCACCCTAAAAACCTAAACCCAAGGATCCTGCAGCAGGATTACCCTGCAGCAATGACTAAGTCGCTCGACCCTGTAGTCATACAGGACGCATATTGCAGGATGCTGTTGCTTAGGGTTTAGGGCTTAGGGTTTAGGGTTTAGGGTGCCATGTGGTGAATTTTCTCTTTCACCGGGTCAAGAAACTGCAACGATGTGAGGGGGGGCTATACTAGAAACCTCCACCGTCACCCTTACAGTAGATGTTGGTCGTTACACTCATACAGGTAGTAAGTAGCCTGTAGAGTCTCTAAATCCTAAACCCCTACACCCTCAACGCCCTAAGCCTTAAACCCCTACACCTTAACCCTTGAACACGGGTCGCTAAATTTTCAGATGCTCCGAAGCTTCTTGTGAGTTGCTTCCATAAGAAACAGTTGCTTTGGCTTGTTTTCATCAAGACCCTACACCCTACACCCCCTAAACCTTACACCCTACACCCTTAACCCCGACTAATTAGTACCACCCCAAAGTTTCGGATTCTCCGAAGATTCCGTCTCCTTCATTGCCAGGCCACACTCGCAGGGGTTCTCCTCGCGGTTCTCCTCCAGCCACTCGAGCAGGGGCTGCACAGAGCCTTGTGGGTTTAGGGTTTAGGGTTTAGGGTGCCAAAAACTGAGTCAACGAGGCTCTTCCAACGATTTCGAAAAGGGTTCCACAAGGGTTCTATGACGGTTTCAAAGGGTTGAGGAAGAAAGGTGTCCAGGGACTGCAGAACGAGGATTCCCTAAGCTCTCAAGATGCAACACTAGATCCTAAACTCTAAACCCTATCAATCCTAAACCCTATACACCCTGAACCCCAAAACCCCAAAACCCCAAACCCCCTACACCCTAAACCCCAAAGCCTAAACCCAAAACTACCTGGACCCCACACCTAAACGTTCAGACTTCTGCCCGTGTCTCAGAGAGCTAGGTGCCTAACTGGGTCCTCGGAGTCTTTAAGACCCAAGCATCAATGGGTTCAGGGTTTAGGGTTTGGGCCTGGGGTTTGTCTGCGTTACCGCCAAACCTGCCTTTTCACGAACGCAGGCCCCACGGAAGCCCTTTCTCTAGGGTTTAGGTTTCCTAAAGCATCAATGGGAGGTTGAAAGAAAATAGTGAACATGCACAGGAACCCCTACCCTAAACCCTAAACCCCAAACCCTAAATCCTAAACTCTAAACCCTCTTAGATTCTGACAGTGCCGGCCAGGTGCTGCTGAAGCCCTGGCTGTAGTACCGCGACGAGTCGTGGTAGATCTGCAAGTCAGTGGGGGGTTCAGCTACGTACACCAGTAACCCCTTAATAATCAGGGCACCCTTCTTCCTAGTATTCGGCTTTTAGCAAGGAGGCCCTAAATTCCAAATTTTAAACCCCCGAAGGAATCTAGTTAGGCTGGAGGGATCAGGAGATGGGGACAGGCCTTTGCGATTTAGCGCCTGGGGTCCAGTGCTTAGGTCTTCAGATGTGGAGGGTTTAAGGTTTAATTTTTGGGTTTAGGTGTAAAGTTGTGATTTAGGGTCTGTGGCTTGAAGTTGGGCTTCAAAGTGGTCTCGTCACTACAATACCCACATGCAGCCAACAACATTCCCAGATGCTACAAACATCCACCAAAACCCGAATCTAGACCCCAGGTCAAACAAGGCCAAGAATCGAGCCAGTCTCCCCACTTCACCTGGCGAAAAGCCTGCCATATCAGATAAGGTTTCCAAGCGCCGCCGCGTGGAAAGTTCACATCTTCCTGAATCAATTCCGAGCAAAGAGTTTAGAGGAGGCTTTCTTTCAGGGCTGCTGGGCCACCTGCAAAACCGGAGTTCTGCAAAAGTACATGTGTAAAAATCCCTATGCTCAGTTTTGGGGCCTCACTCGGGAGCTCGGAGCATGAACATGTCGAACAGTTTCTTGTCCTGAACTGGTCAGAACAAAGTTCAACATGGAAGCTTCAGTAAGCAAAAGACCGCAATACAGAACCCAAGAAAGAGGATCCTTTGTATAACGACCCCACAAGGAAGCCTAACTTCAAGAGACCCCACACGATTCTCACCCAGCTGCATGTCTGTTGTACCAATCAGAACGCTCTCCTGACTCCCATTCGGACTCGTTCCACTTCAAATGGTCCACGATTTCAGCTATGTGAAGGCTCTCGTCCATCAACCTCTGCGTCTTCAGGAATATCTCACCAGACGCATAGGTCATCAGCAAAACCTTCGGGGGTTGAGCACCGTAGCCCCAAAAAAGGTAAACCTGTAACTATTGTAGGGCTACACAAACTCAAAAACGTCAAAGGTGACTCACCAAGTCCCTAAGAAACGGTGCGCTCCGGCCGACCCCAGCGCAGCCAGGCTTTCTCAGAACTGCTGGCAGGCTTGCTCTCCGCCTCCCGTTTTGTGCCATCACTGGCACCTGAGCTGAGCATCAGTCGATGGAGAAGCAAGGAGGTTTATGTATGGCTGAGGCGAGTCTGGCTTAGAGGCGTAATTATGATGTTTTCACCTTCAAACACAGTCCCAGTACCATGCACAATCATGGAGACCTTTGTTCGGAAATTCTGAGCCCTGAACCCTACCTCCCAAACCTTTTTGCCAATCCTCCCAGCATAAAGTAACCATAAACCCTGAACCCTGAGAGATTGGCTCGAAACCCTATGGCCTAAACCCTAAACCCTGTGAAGGGTACGTTCAGTAAGTGGTAAGTTTTGAAGACTCTACTGACTCTGGTCCCTGGGCTCTAAGCCCTTAAGCAACTTCAGCCCTAAGCCCTACCCCAAACCCTACAACTCCATAACCTCTGGTAAGAGCTAAACCCGAAAACCGAAACAAAAAAACAAAAACAAAAAAGCTGCACTCCATGACCCCCTAAACCCAGGAATCCCTAAAGGCTAAACCCCGAAACCCAAAAAAGAAAAAACATTGATCCCTAAACCCTAAACCCTAAACCCCGCAACCCACAAAGGACAATCTTGATCCCTAAACCCTAAACCCTGAAACCCAAAAAGGCACACCTTGATCCCTAAACCCTAAACTCTGAAACCCAAAAAGGCACACCCTTGATCCCTAAACCCCGAAACCCAAAAAGGCAAATCTGGATGACAAAACCCTAAACCCTAAACCCTGAACCCTAAACCAGAACCCCCCCGATGACAAAAGGCTGTAGGCCGGCTGCAGAGATCCTTCGGGTGTGGGCGCTCCGCCAGCAGCCTCCGTGCCATGGACCTTGCAGGGCGTTTTAGGGTTTCGGGTTTCGAGTTTAGGGTTTAGGGTTTAAGCTTTGGGGTTTGGGGTTTGGGGTTTAGGGATAGGGTTTCGGGTTTGGGGTTTAGGGATAGGGTTTAAGGTTTGGGTGTTAGGGTTTGGGGGTTAGGGTTTGGGGTTTAGGGATAGGGTTTAGGGGTTAGGGTTTGGGGTTTAAGCCTGTAAGGGTTATGCTGGCACCGACTTTAGGCTTAGAGCTTTAGGGCTCCGTAAAGGGATCCTTTCTGCGAGGGTTACGCTGACAGGACTCTGGGCTTGTACGGCTTTTAGAGTTCAGGCGTTTAGGGTTTTAGGGCTTTGGGGTGTTAGGGTGTGGGGGTTGAGGGGATTTGGGGCTCAGGGTATGGAGGGGTTCGGGGATTCTAAGATTCAGGGTTTAGGGTACTGTCTATATCATCCTGCTGATGGACAAAATTCTGCATGACCCCAAATATAGTCTAGTACCATAAATCCCATATTTTAGGTATATAGAGTCATGCAGGATTTTGTCCATCAGCCGTTGTGACTATAGTGGTTGCGGGCTTAGGGCCTTAGGGTCTCTTTCACCTTCGGGCCGGGAGACTCCATTCGTCTAGGAATTGCCCTGTAGAGGGCTTTTTGGGTTCATTTTGGGGTTTAGGGCTTAGGGTTTAGGGTTTAGGGTTCAGGGCTTGGGTTTAGGGTTTAGGGTTTAGGGTTCAGGGTTCAGGGATTAGGGTTTTGGGTTTTGGGTTTTGAAGGGCTTGTCACAGTTACGAGCGGTCCGGACGCTGGCTGCCTGGACTCTACACTCGCACCAGGGGCTCAACGCAACATCCAAAAGAGCTCACAACTCTAAACCCGAAATCCAAAAAATCGGAAAACTCAACGCATTAATACTAACATTGATATAAAGATATATATATATATATACATACATACATATAATATTAGTGTTACTATTCGTATTTTTATTGATTTAACTGAGTCTTTTGCTATTACTCGTATTTGGGGCTTAGGGTTTGGGATGTTGCGCCTCGCAGAGGTGCGGGTCCTGGCCAGAAACGTCAGCCGCATCACACCTGAGTCGAGTTTAGCGTCTAGGCTTTAGGGTTTAGGGCTTAGGGCTTAAACTCTAAACACTAAACCCTAACGCCCGAAACGGCTTGGTGCTTGGGGATTTACGGGCATAGTACGGCATGTACTTACTAAACCCAAGAGCCATCAAACCCGATCGGTGTAGGATCTGGGCGTGGGGGGCAAACCCTAAAGCTCCTGAAGCCTAATATAGGGGCCTGAATAATTAGAATAGGGTTTCGGTGATCATTATAGTAGAATATAAAAAGGACACTGAGAAGAAATATTCCTCAGGGTTCTTTACTATATTGAGAATACAGTAATAAGTCCAAGCCATATTCCAATTTTTCAGGCCCCCATATTAAACCTTTTTGTCTGTGAGCCAAGGTTCAGGACATCAGCTTCGCACAGCAGCTCACACTCCTGAGCATATGTTCAAGGCTTAGTGCTTTACGGTTTTTCTGCTGTAGAGTTTAGGGCTTTAGGATTTGAAGGTTTAGGTATAGGGTTCGGCTGTGGGTTTTCTGGCTCGTATATGATAGGGAATAAGGGAGTGGATCTCCATGATAGTCACTTACGGGCCCCAGTAGTAGTCCCTATACCCCTTTCCCCCCTTACTCTACAGTACTAAAAACTAGGGAGGTGGGTTTTCTGGCTGATGATGCAACCTGGTGCTTTAGGCGCTGGGTGTCGGAATATGGGCCTGCCTCACGATATCTCAAATCTTTAGGGGTAAGTTTGGATTTCGTTTCGGAGCCTACTTTCTCAGGGCTTTCTGGTGTTCCTTAGAGGTCGGCAGGGGATCGCGATGAAGAGCCTAAAGAGGTTTCTATAAGGGTTCTAGAAGGGTCACCGTTTAAAGGATTCTTTAAGGGTTCCGTTTAAAGGGTTCTATGAGGGTTACTCATTAAGCGCGTTCAGGGGTTCGGGTTTAGGGGTTCAGGGTTTAGGGGCATGCGTTTAGCGATTAGGGTCTAGGGGTTCAGGCTGTGGGTTTGGGTTTAGGGTTTAGGGTTCAGGAGCGATGCTGCAAGTCCGAAAATGAGTGCGGCTGGCAACTTGCAACGCATCTAAACAAATTTAGGGTTTAGGGTTTAGGGTTTATCAACGGGTTTGGACGCCGAAAACACCTGCGATGCGACAGTGAATCAGCCCAATGTAGCGGACTTAACAATTAGAATAGGGTTTTGAGGTACATTACTGTATACCATACTATAGTTATAATAAGCAAACTCCAAAATAATGGGTTATAATTTAGGCGCCTATATTGACCCTGAACCCTGAACCGATTCAGCTTCTGCATGACACTGCCAAGACGTGTAACGTAGGGGCCTAAATAAGTACCAATACTATTTTGAGGGGAGGTCCTTATCATAACTGTAACATAATGGGCCCCAAAACCCTATCTAGCTATTAAGGCCCCTAAAATAAATCAGATATAGGATATAAGGTCCACAGGGCTGGGGCGAAACCCTGAACCTTAGACCCTCACCAGACATCCCCTGAAAACTCCCTGCTGCCGGGACTCCGCTTTGTCGGCGACCCGCGCTTGGTACCGCGGCGGCTCTTTGGCCATGGAGAGACCGAAAGGCAACTTGTAATGGTGGTTTCGGGCATGTGGGGGTTCAGGGTTTGGGATTCGGAAGCTTGGGGTTTAGGATTTTTGTGCTTTGGGTTTTAGGCTTTTGGTGGCTTAGGGCTGAGGGATTTTGGCTTCGGGTTCAGGGCTTGCGGGGGCTCCTTGCTGATAGTGTGGTGGTTTAGGGTTTGGGGTTTGATGAAGTTCTCTGGAACTGGACGGCATTGAGTCTACAAGGCCGGTAAGGGTAGGGTTTAGGGTTTCGAGTGCTCAGCATTTTGCGGCTCCACTGCTTTTCTTTGCGTCGGATGCTCGTGGGGCTCAAGTAATCCTAGGCCCTGATAACTTAACCCAATACCCAAGCCCGGACTACAATCCCAAACTCTAAAAACTCAACCCCTAAACCCTGAACTCGGGGTTTAGGGTTTAAGAGTCCTAACCTTTAAACCCTAAACTCGAAGCCCTAAGCCCTGAAATCATAAAGCTGAAATCCTAAACCCTGAAACCTAACCTGTAAAGTTAAGCTTCAGGCGTGGCCTTCTGTCCCACTGACGACGGTTGGAGGATCGGGGGTCAGGGTTGCAGGTCTCCAGACGTTCCTTCGAATTGGGTTCAGGGTTTAGGGTTGTTGGGTCTAAGGTTGGGGGCTTTAGGGTTTTCGGGTTATTGTTAATAGTAAGGTGTATGGTTGACGGTTTAGGGTACTAGAAGGGAATACGAAACCCTGAACCAACTAAAATTATGCAAACACATAGCGGCCTCAGTAGTTAGAATGGATATATTTTGCACTATGAATACACCCCAAGGAACAATATTGGTATTTATTCAGGCATCGATAATAAGCCCCTAAGCCTGAAATCTATGAACCCTAAGCCCTAAACTCCATAAACTCCAAACTCCTAACCCCGAAACCCCAACCCCTAAACCCCGAAATCCTCAAGTCCCAAAGCCCTGAACTCCACCCTAAACCCTGGATATGCTTTAGGGGTTTGGGGTTTGCGGGGTCCAACTGAGGCCCTCCGCTCGTCTTGAAAGTGAGGGAGTCACCGATTTAGTCTACAGCTTAGGGCTTAAGGTTGAGGGCTTTAGGGCTTAGGGCTTCGGGTTTAAAGTCTAGGGCTTAGGGTTTAAGGTTGAGGGCTTAGGGCTTCGGGTTGAAAGGTTAGGGTTTCCTGGCCAGGCCCGGGATACTTGAGGAATAATGAGTAGGTCGAAATTAGTCGGTAGGTACTTGCCTCAGGGTTTCTAAGTATGTATGGCTATAGCCACCTAAATCAGAACTTTGCTGAAGTAGAATAGGGTTTTGGAGCAAAGTACAATATAAATATAACCCGTTGAATACGGAACCCTAGGAATAATAGTTGCAAGTATTCCGGCTTCTATAATACAGACCCGGCCCGGCACTGCCCTCATATTTCTCCTGGGCCACTGTAGGCCTCGAAAATCGCGGCCTGGAGACGATCTGGTGATCGCCCATGGCACCCACAAACTCTGCACATACAGGATCTGGCAAGATACTGTACGATGAAAACCCTAAACCCTAAATCCTAAACCGTGTAGACAGGAAGGGAACTTACACCCTCAGCCCTAAATCCTACACCCTAAACCCATCTTCGTAACGGCGTCCATAAGCCTAGCCCTTGGACTTGAACGGGGCTTCGCACAAATCTACAAGGATCCGACAGCTCGAGGTTTCAGGTTTAGGGCGTTTGGGGTGTACGACAGCCTTCTACTGCCCCCCAACAACTTTTTACAAACCCTTTAAACAGAACCTCACTAGTTCCCGTTTTGCCTCTCGGTAACCCCAAACCGAAAACCCGCTGCGCAAAACCCAACAAGGGAAACCCTAAGCCGAACTACGCCGCACTGATCAAGTCGAGGCCGACCGGGAGGGGAACTCCGCCCAAGCCATCCTCCGGCTTCGGTTGTAGAGTTTTTGTTTTAATAAAGTTGTATGGTTTTTTTAGGTTTAGGGTTTAGGTTATAGGGTTTAGGTTGTAGGGTTTAGGGTTTAGGGACTTTTCGAACTTCCGGACTTTCGGTGCAGAAGTGTCTGTGTCAGACGCAGCACTAACAAGCTGTACAAGCGGCAACAGGGTTTAGGACTCAGGGTGTAGGCTACGTCAAGTTCTAACAGAGCTCACCGCCCACACCGAAAACGCCAAACCAATAGCAAACCACTTGAAGAACCCTTGAAGAAACCCCTACACCTTCAAAAGTCAAAAGGAACACCGCAGGGCCCCTTTAAAGGAATCTTTAAATGGGAACCTGCAGCTGCCTAAACCGTCTTTCAGGATTTTGGTGTGGGGCTCCTGTGTCTTTTGGATCTTCGGCGTTTGGGTGTGGGGTTTTTGCCATTGAGGTAGGGATTAGGGCTTAGGGAACCGTAAACCCAAAACCCCCAAACCCTAAACCCTTAACCCAAACTCCTAGACCCTAAATCCTAAACCATAAATCTAAACTACTAAATCCTAAACCCTAAACCCTAAATCCTAACACCGTAAACCCTAAACCCAAACTCCTAAACCTTAAACCGTCGAGGCGTTTCGTGTTGGAGTGGGGCCTGTTTCGGGAGCCTGAAACCCTGAGCTTAGGGGTTTTAGGGTTTTGGGGCTTTAAGGCTTTAGGGCTCTAGCTAAGGGTTTTGTTGTTAAGGTTTTAGGGCTTTAGGTGTTCTTTTTTAAGGTTTTAGGGCTTTAGGGGCTTAGGGTTTAGGGTTTCGAGTCTAGTTAGGGTTTCGGGTTTAGGGTTTAGGCTTTAGGGTTTAGGCTTTGGGGTTCAGGATTTAAGGTTTAGGGCTTCGGTTGAGGATGTTTTTGGTGGTTTCAAGTTTCAAGAACCGAAGCACCAAAGCTCAAGCCGATCCTCAAATCCCAGCTCAATCCCCTCGAATACCCGTTGCGGTTTAACTAAGTGATGATCGTCCTCGGTATTTTCAATAGTTCCTCCTTCAATCAAAGGCGCTGCTGAACAGTCACAGGTGAATCCCTGCTCATCTAGCAAATGCTTTGTCATGTAAAGTACTGCCTATTGAAGTACCTAAAGTATATACGAAACGGGCACATGTTGGGACGCGAGCCTGCCAGCAAAGAAGTCGTTCCTGGAGGTCGCCTCCAAAGCCAGACGCTGGCGGACGACGTACACCTGGGCTGTGGGTTGAAGGCAGCGTTTAGGATTTCGGGTTTAGCGTTTAGGATTTCGGGTTTAGGGTTTGGGATTAAGGGTTTAAGGCTTAGGGTTTGGAGCTTTAGGCTCTGCGCATTGTGGCTGGGTGGCATGTTATCAGGCTCTCTCTGCAACACGTGATTGGCCCATTTTGAAGTCAGCCGCCACGTCCAAAAACGACAAGAACTCGTGTATAATTCATGCTGGTGTTTGGATCAGCCCGCTGAGCTCAGCACGACACGAAAAGAATGAAGCCGGCATGCATCAATCAAACCGCAGTGGAGCTTAAGGGTGTAGGGTTTAGGGTCAACACAAAACGGGGCATCAGACCTGGTCACAACGATACGGAGCATGAAGCAACATTAAGCCTTGCACACGAAACAGCCAGACCCTAAACCCTTGCAAACAAAGTTTTAAACCCTAGATCAAGAAACCCTTAAATGCTCAACCCATGAACCCCTAAGCCCTAAAACCTCCAACAGCCGACATCCGAAAGCGCTAAATGCACCCTCATAAATCCAAAAAGCTCCAAACTCCAACCCCCAAGTAGAGCGCTGGCTCGGACCGAAACCCAACCCCTGAGATCTAAAACCCACGAACGCATGAACCGCAAAACCCGGAACAGTTCGAACGCACCTACACGCCAAAGGTCAAACCACCCCTGAACCCTAAACCCAAA